GGAATTCAAATATTATATTTTCAAACATAAGAGATTATTGTGATTTATTAAGGTTATCGGTTTGCCTAGTATTGAGATAAGTGTCATCACGACATGTTAGGATTTTTGGGTCGTGATACTTATGAACAAATCAAACCTTCAAATTGTCAACTTTCGCCAAATAGTGCAGAAACCTTATAGAAACATCCAAATACAAATCCAAGCATACTCCCTAGTCCAAAATCACCATTCGAACCCATCAGAACTATAAAAATCACGATTCGAGATCAAATACATAAAAGTCAAACTTGGAATCATTCTTCCTAATCAATTTTGAACAACTCGAAGACCAAAATCGATCATACATACAAGTCGTAACACATCATATGAAGCTACTCAAGATCTCAAACCACCGAACGAAATGCCAATGCTCAAAACGACCAATGGGGTCATTACACTTGCATTGCAACTTATCCAAATTTTTTTATACAGTAGGTAGTTGCGAATTACATATTGAAACAACATGTTTCTTGTGATAATTGGTGCAAACTAAACATTACTCCATGTTCTTTTATTTTATATGATGATATCAACTAAACATATAGTTAAAGTAAGAAATGTTTTTGACTTAGGCCCAAAGCATCAAGATAATAGTTGTTTTGTCGAAAAATACATGCTCTGATCAAACTGTAACCAAATTGGAGAAAGGTCAAATTTACCTTTTTACTATTAAAAATTATTTATATTGAACTTCCGTTATACTCTGGGGAATATATGTACCCCTACTATTAGCAAAGTATTTTAATATACCTCCACTTTTAACAGAAGTCCAACATGTCTAGGATTCAACTATTAAAAATCTATGTGGCCTGATAATTGAGTGAGGTGCACACCATGTGGCGTGCCATCTCCCCACACTAACCCTATTTTACCCCCTCTAATGCAAGTGCAAGTATGCAGAGGAAATAAAATGATATGTAGAGGAAATAGAATGAGGCAGCAGTTGGCATCAAGTTAGTTACATGTGTCAGAAAGTTAGTTACAAAGTTAGTTGGAAGTTAGTTGAAGCAGTTATTTGAGAAATGCACTGTAGCGTGAAGAGCAGTAGCTCATTTCTTTCCATAATTGTGATATAAATACAATATTACATTGTAATTAGATTCATTCCCGAATAAATATTACTCAATTCTCTCTTTCTAAATCTTCTCACAGCTAATTCTCTCGGATGTCCCGTGAGCTAGATATCATCTTCTTTGAGCTTAGCTCCTAGATTAGTAAATTCTATTGCCATTCCAACTGGTTGCAATAATTGGTATCAGAGCTTACGATTCTCGGTATAATCAAAGATGAATCGCAGTAAAAATCAAGACAAATCAGCTGATGAAACAGAGGAAAAACTATCTAAGATCCAAGATCAGTTACAAAAGGTAATGGATGGCATGATGAGCATGAGTGAAAGGAATTCACAAGCAGGCAAGGAATTGTTAGGGCTTAAGGAAGCATTTGGGCTTATCACTCAGAGGGGCAAGGAACAAATTGTGGATGAGTCCTTGATCAACAGAGGAGAACCATTGTAGATGAGGAACAAAGAGTTTCACAGTGGGTCTGCTCATCAGGGACATGGCAGTTCCTTTAATCGATTCTCAAAACTAGATTTTCCTCGATTTTCTGGTGTATATTTTCATACATGGTTGTATAAGGTTGATCAATACTTTTCTATGGGTGAAGTTCCTTTTAAACAAAGGGTAAAGGTGACAGATTATTAACTGGAGTTAATCTAACAACTGAAAATGCTATCAGTTATTTTTTAGGCAGTTTAAAACCAGAATTGAATAAAGCTGTAAGAATACAAGCACCAAGAACTCTAATGCAAAGCTATAAAATTGCTTGACTACAAGAAAAAGTCTTTGATGCCCAAGCTAAAACACGGGGTTTGAAACCTGTTTCCAGAAATTTTCATCCTAATTCTAATCCTATTTAACTACCCCTACTTTCTTCACACCACAAAATTACCAAAAACCTGTTGCACTAAATTCCTCACTTATCAAAGAAATGCTGATGCCAACCAAACAAACCTAATAGACTAGGCAGGAGGTTAACTGCTGCTGAGATGGATGAAAAAAGGGCCAAAGGCTTGTACTTCTTCTGTGATAAAAAATATGAAATGGGGCATAAATGTAAGTCCAGGAAACAACTATTTATGGTGGAGGTAGTAGATGAGGAAATGATCACAACAGTAGAGGTGGAAGAGGATGTTTTAATTCAAGAAGTTGTAGAAGCTAGCAATAAGTTCATGACTATATCTCTACAAGCGTTTACTGGGTGGCTGGTTATCAGACAATCAAAGTTACTGGCTACCATGAGAAGAGGACCTTACAGGTTCTGATTGATACAGGGAGTACTCATAATTTCATTGATCAAGAATTTGCTAAGAAACTAGGATGTCAATCCAGTTCTATAATGGAGCAATCCATTAGTGTGGCTGATAGTTGGAAGGTGCAGACTGCTGCAGTGTGCAGGACCTTACCATGGTTGCTACAAGGGACAACATTCTCTTTAGACTTCCTGCTGTTACCATTAGGTAATGTGGACATAGTACTGGGGGTGCAATGACTTAGTACTTTGGGAAGGATCTTGTTTGACTTCAAGAATAGAACTATTGAATTTATGCATCAAGGCAAGAAACATGTGCTAAGAGATGCTAATAGTCAACTGAAATCAACTAAAGCTACCTCCTTACCCAAACTGAAATCCAAGTTTTAGCTGCTCTCATCAAATAGTATTCAAGTATCTTTGAAGTACCAACTACCTTACCTCCTCATAGGAGCTTCTTTTGATCATAGAGTTCCATTGATAGAATATGCAAACCCTGTGAACAAGAGACCATATAGGTATCCAGGAGTTAAAAAGGATATTATTGAGAAGTTGGTTCAAGAAAAGATGGATCAAGAAGCGATTCAGCATAGTATAGTCCTTATGCCTCACCTGTTGTACTAGTAGGAAAAAGGATGACAATTGGATACTATGTATTGACTATAGGGAACTGAACCATGTGACAGTCAAAGACAAGTTCCCTATACCCATCATTGAAGACTTGCTTGATGAATTAGGAGGTGCAGTTGTGTTCTCTAAGATAGACCTGAGAGCAGGTTATCAACAATTGAGAATGGCAAAGGAGGATACTCACAAGACTGTTTTCAAGACTCATGAAGTTCACTATGAGTTTCTAGTTATGCCTTTTGGGATAACTAATGCTCATTCTTCATTTTAGAGTCTTATGAATTCTGTTTTAAACCTTTGTTGAGGAAGTCAGTCCTAGTATTTTTTGATGTTATCTTAATCTATAGTAGAAGTATGTCTGCTCATGTTGAGTATGTGAAGGCTGTCTTTGAACTGATGCAACAATATCAACTGTATGCTAAGATGGCCAAATGTGATTTTGGTGTGCCAAAGGTAGAATACTTAGGCCATTTCATCAGTGCTGCTGGAGTTTCAACTGATCCTAAAAATATAGTGGCTGTGCAGAGTTAGCATGTCCCATGTAATATCAAACATCTAAGAGGATTTTTAGGTCTTCCTGAATATTATAGGAGATTCATCAAAGGTTTTGGCGCTATATGCAGACCACTACATGATCAACTTAATAAGGAAGGGTTTTCTTGGACTGAGAAGTGTACTGAAGCTTTCAACAAGGTGAAACAAGCACTAGTTTCTGCACCTGTCTTGGCAACACTGACTATTCAAAGCCATTTATTGTGGAGACTGATGCTAGTGGGAAGGGAATTGCGGTAGTCTTGATGCAACAAGGGCACTCTATAGCCTACATAAGTAAGTCCTTAGCCCTAAGACTCAAGCTATGTCAGTATATGATAGGGAGCTTCTAGCACTCATATTTGTAGTCACCAAATGGTCTCACTACTTGTTGGGCAAACTTTTTATTGTGAAAATAGATCAAGAAGCCTTGAAGCATCTATTAGAACAGATTATTCACACTGATTTTCACGTGGCTGGTATTTCAAAGCTCATGGACTTTGATTTCTCCATTGAATATAAGAAGGGAGTGGAAAACAAGGCTGCAGATGCCTTATCCAGGAAGCCTGCTGCCGAGTTGTTAGCTATGTCCCTGATAAATCCTAATGATTCTTTGTCTATTCAGATTTAGAACACCTGGTTCACTGATCCAGTATTACAAATGGTGATTGCTAAACTCCAGACACAACCTTACAAGTCCTATACTTAGTGCAACAATCAGTTTAGGTGGAATGGTAGACTAGTGATAGGAGACAATGTGCAATTGAGGAACACCATTATTGTACTGTGGCATGCAAATCCTCAATGAGGACACTCTGGTATGGATGTTACTATTAAACGACTACAATCCTTATTCTTTTGGTAAACTCTTAGCCAAGATACCAGAACATACATCAATAAGTGTGATGTGTGTCAAATGCATAAATATAATGCTGCTGCATCTCTTGGTTTATTGCAACCCTTGCCAATTCCTGAAGGAGTTTGGACTGATATATGCTTGGATTTCATTGAGAGCTTACCCAATTCCAATGGCAAGGAAGTGATCTTGGTTGTAGTTGACAAACTGGGCAAGTATGGTCACTTCATGGCTTTGTCTCATCCTTACACAGCTCAATCTGTAGCTCAATACTTCTTGGATAATGTTTTTAAACTTCATGGCATGCCTTTCACCTTAACTAGTGATAGAGATCTTGTTTTCCTTAGTAGTTTCTGGCAAGAACTCTTCACATTACAAGGTGTCCAGTTGCAAAGATCCACTGCTTACCATCCTCAAACTGATGGACAAACAGAGATCTTGAACAGAACCTTGGAGACCTACTTGAGGTGTTTTTGTTCTGACAAGCCTCAGAGTGGTCTTCTTATTTGGCTATAGCCAAATGGTGGTATAATACTTCCTATCATACAACTATCAGATGAACTCCCTATGACGTTTTGTATGGTCAAAAGCCTCCCATTCACCTACGCTATCTTCCTGGTGAAGCCAATTCTGAATGGTTGATAGGTCATTGGAGGCTAGAGAAGTGGTGATTCAGTTGCTGAAATTCCATATTGCAGGAGCTCAACAAAGAATGAAGGATATGGCCAACAAGCACATCACTGACAGATATTTTGAGGTGGGTGATTGGATTTACTTAAAGCTTCAACCTTACATAAAAATCTCAGTTGCTATCAGACCTTTCAACAAACTAGCAGCCAAGTATTTTGGTCCTTATCTTATTGTTGAGAGGATTGGTGATGTTACCTACAGGTTACTCCTGCCTATTGATGTTTTGATTCACCCAACCCTTCATGTTTCACAACTAAAAAGGTGCCTTGAAGTTCCTACTACTATTAACCATCCACCATTCCTCCACCTTTCAAGCCCCTATTGCTCATTGCCTGAGTCTATTCTTGAGAGGAGGATGGTTAAGAAACACAATAAAGTTGTTTGTTGGGTGTTAGTAAAGTAGACAGGATTGGATGCTGCACAGGCTACTTGGGAGTTATTGATTGAGTTACTACACATATTTCCTACTTTCCATCATTGAGGAAAAAGGATCATCTTTAAGCGAGGGGTATTGATGCAAGTGCAAGAATACAGAGGAAATGGAATGATATGCAGAGGAAATAGAATGAGGCAGCAGCTGGCATCGAGTTAGTAACATTTTTCAGAAAGTTAGTTACAAAGTTAGTTTGAAGTTAGTTGAAGCAGTTAGTTGAGAACTGCACTGTAGCGTGGAGAGCAGTAGCTCATTTCTTTTCATAGTTGTGATATAAATACAATACTACATTGTAATTAGATTCATTCATGAATAAAGATCACTCAATTCTCTCTTCCTAAATCTTCTCTCAGCTAATTTTCTCGGAAGATCCCTGAGCTATCTATTATCTTCTTCGAGCTTAGCTCCTAGATTAGTAAATTCCATCGCGATTCCAACTGATTGCAACACCCTCCCGAATATATTCTCTTCCTTTTCATTTCTTCTTCTACCACCACTTAAACCACCACACCTCCATCAACACCGGCACCACCACAAATAGACAAGAAAAAAAAAGAAGGAAAATTGATGAAAAAATAGACAAAACACGGAGTGAATTTCATCTGAAGTTAGCATGTTTCCCAATTATTTCCCTGTTTATTCAGTAATTATAGTTCTTCGATGAATACTGTCAAAGCCAATCAAATATGAGTAACGAAAAAGCACTTAAAAAATTGAGGGAAAGCTTTTTGAAGAAAAAAAAGGAGAGGAGACTTGGGGTATTTTTTGTTTTTGTCCTAATTATTAGAGCTACTACCGCCACCTTGGCCGTAAGTTCTTACCATGCCACCTTTTTGTTTTTGATGCTTATTTGATCATTTGAATTTGGATATTGAATTAATTGAGTTGTTTCTGTAAAAGTTCTGTGCTTTAACGAGTAATCTTAAGATAATGTAATAATTGGGCATCCACGATGTCCGTTGTGGAAGTGTTGGGTACTTTTGAGTCGGGGTGAAAGAAGAAATAGAAGGGAGGGGTTACTAAAATAGAGTTAGAATATTGAGACGGTATGTCAAGTGGCGTCCACCTCACTCAGTTATTAGATCACACAGAATTTTAATAGATGGTTCCAGTCATATTGGATTATTGTTAAAAGTAGAAATAGTTTTGAATACTTTATGAACTATACGTGTATATATATATGTTCAGAAAGTACAACGAATGTTAAATATAAATATTTATTTTTTAAAATAAAAAAATAAATGTAAACAATTTTCGAAAAGGAAATAAAGGGGATGTTGATGGCGAAAGGGACCAGCAAAATAGTACAAAACTTCGATCCGCTGTGGTGTTCTAGTAAATCTTGGTCACGTGAAGTAGAGAAAGGAGTAGTGGAGTAGAGAGAAATGCGTTGTTAATGCGAATATACCAAACCAGAAGATGACAAATAACTTCGAAAGATTTGAAAATAACTTCTCTTTTTCTTCCTTTCCTTTTCTTTTGTACTTTTTGTCTTAGATTGATGACAAAAAATGTGTACCACTTGTAAAATGACGAAAAACATGCTGCTTCTAAGTGCCAAGCTGCAACAATGCAAGTATTAAACTTCCAAACATGGCGTAACTATCTTTAGTAAAGGGCGGAGATCTAGAAATTAAGTTTTATGTGTTCTAACTTATAAGATTTTTAAAGTTATGGGTTCATATTATTATATATTTTAATATTAATGAATTTTTATATATAAATTTTTGCTCCGTGTTAAAGTATTGAATTTAGTTGAACCCGATGCCGATACATTGCATCCGCCTCTGGTAAAGGAGTTCAATTGAATTTTCTTTTGTTGAAAAATTACACTATGAAAACATAGTAGTATAAATTAAATGGACATACATTATATAAATTTTTAAATTGCACATACATTATATAAATTTTTAAATTGCTTTAACATAAGTTCACATTTTAGAAATAGTACTTTTATATTAGTTGAATTCCCTTATTTATTGTTTACCCTTAAAATTGGATAACAATTAAACTTATAATGAGGTTCTAAGGATACATGATTTCACTTAATATCGATAGACAAATATGACGATTAATAACAAAAATGAACTATAAAATAAAGTGAACCAGTATTAAAACGGAATTCAACCCTCGAGCTAGGGTGCCCTCGAACTGATTGATACCAAAATAGTTAAAAATAAAGCAAGCTAATGAACAAGAAAGTATAAGCTAAAGAGAGAGCGTTATATTGCCTTTTTTTTTACGTGAGAACAATGTCTTACAAATGGTTAATACTCCCCTTTATATAGTAGAGGAGTTCTACTTATGGTATAACTCTAATTACAGAAGAAAATCCCATGATTAGCTAATTAACTATTTCTGATTTGATCCGTTCCGAGATTTACGCCATGATCCTCGACCAGTCACCGAGATATCTTCGATCTTGCTCGATGTCTGTCTTGTTTGGCTTCGATCGCTACTAGCCTCGATTTTGACCGGTATCTCGGTTCTGAACTCGGTACCTTATCCTCGTGATATGGCCTATTCCGTTACGAGACCATCCTCCGATGCAAACTCCCGGTCTCGGTCAAAAAGTAAAATCAGGTGGGCCCGGTTTTAACAATATACAGATAGTCCCCTCGTTCTTTTGGTGTAATGACAAGAAACGAATTGAGCCTTCGATTTTCTATCTCGACCTGTCATGATGTCATCTTTGTGACGTACGCGACAAAAGTGACTGAAATGTCCCGTCTGTACAGTTACCAAGGCATTAAATGCACGTCAGCCGATGGTCGACCACCGCCAATATTGAACCGTCGTTGTGAAATTTATAAATAGCCCACCTCTCCACCATTTTGAACTTTTACTTTTATATTTCTAATCTCCTAAGCTTTTTATATCTTCTAATTTCTTCATATGCAAATCTACGTTTTCACTGCTAACCTCTTCTCAAAACACCAAATCCTATCATCTCCATCTATTTTTAACTTTAAATCCATACAAAAATGGTAAAAACATCAAAAATGGTTCTTCAAAAGGAAAACGCTTCTTCTTCGCGGCCGGCCGGTGACAAGACATCGGCGGAGCCGCACCCCGAGGAATGTGTTCCCGGAGGGGTGTGTCCTCACTTTCGATTTTAAGACCGATAAAGCCTCGTCGGTTCCTGGTCGATGCGAGCCCGTGCTGATATATATATGCTCTATAACTGAGGGATACCTTAAGAAGGTAAAGAAATATTGCAACTGGGAGGGAAAATATGTGGTGATCCCGACCCCCGAAGAGGACATCACCACCCATGTGGAAGAGTTTCTAAGTATTTACACTTACCCTTTCACACTGGTCCCCCTCGACCCCGTCGTCGTTGATTTTTGCCGTCAATATCAAATAACCCTAGGCCAAATCCATCCTTCTTTTTGGCGAATTGTGATTCTACTCCGATTCTTCGTGAGTAAAGTGGAGGGGATGCCTTTCACCCTCGACCACCTCATTAGGTTATACAGTCCCCGCCTCTATCGAGATGAGTTAATAAAACACCAACGCCGGGCTACCAAAGTGTTGTTCTCGAGCATAGACGAGAACAAGGACCGAGGCTTGATGGGCCAGTTCGTTCGAGTGAGGACTTCCGCCCTAATTCCGCCGAGAAGATGCCATTTTCCGAGAAATGGAATATGAAGCGTAAGTACAATCCCCATGTTAGCTCCTATTAATTGTTTTTCTCCTTTGCTTCTTCTCATTGATAACCTTTTCCGTGATGTAGCGATCACTTGGATGCCCAGTACAATCCCTAAACTTAAGAGCTGGGTTCGGGACTTGGCCTCAACCTCTACATATGTCGAGCATTCATGACGTGACTTATCAAAGGGCCGATGGGAAGCCAAAACTCATAGTAACCCCCTTTTCCACGTCTTTAATGATTTTATCAAAGCATTTGTTAGTTAATTCCCTTTCATACAGGCCTTGGAAAAGATGTTGTTATGAGGCCCCTATCTGGTGAAGGGGAGACTTCAATCCCGGCACCGAAACCAGCGAAGGACAAAAAGAGAAAAAAGTCCTTACCATCCGAGGATCCAGAACCTAATAATAAGGCAGCTCGTAAGCCGAGGAAGAACATCATCCTCCTAACCGAAGAGTCTATTCGGTGTCTAAGGGAGGAAAATGAAGAAGTGGAAGAAGCCAACTCCGGACTGATGGACCGAGTGGGAATGAGCACCGAGGCCCCAAAGGCCACTGAATCGGTGAAAGCTGCATAGACTCCGTCTCGAGATGAGGGGGTCTCGGGAAGAGACTTGGGAGAAGTCCCCGAGTCATCGAGAATCGAAGATGCCTCCAACCATACTGAGCTAACGGTGGGTACGACTGTCTAGGCCCCTCGAAATAAGGAGAACGCCCCAAGTGATTCACTTGGGACAATAGAAATTGGAGGCTCCCCGCTGCTCCCCTCGTTTTTTGAGGAGATGATTCAAGAGGCTCGAGCCTTGAAGACCCTCTCCATCAAAAGATCCCACGGAAGGGAGGACCCCTTCCGTGATTACTTTACCGGTCTAAGTGACTTGGAGGTCTCGAGGAAGGACTCGAGAGAGGCATCGAGCCTTTTCAATGAAGCGCAACAAGCTCTGAATCGGGTAAGCCTTAACTCCCATTGTTGGTGTTACACTTGTGTTCATTTTTCTCTTTCTGTCTAACTTCTTTTCTTCTTTCTGCGTAGGCCTCAGCGCTTTACCGGGAAGCATTTTTTCGATCTCGAGCTGAGCTGAGTCGGTGTGAGGCCGACCTCCGAGGGCTCACAGAAGAGAGGAATGCCCTTAAACTTCTCTGTGGGAAAAAAAGAAGAGGAGACCAAGGACCTCCGAGCCGAGTTGGCCAAGGCTCACCAAGATCAGACCGACCTGATCGAGCAGGTAATGAAAATCTTAAAAGCTCAATGGAGAAGAATCTACCCCTGGAGAAGATCAAGAATCTTAGGAATTTTCACTTTTGATCTTTTGTATAGG